TCTCTCTCTCTCTCTCTCTCTCTATCTGCATCTCTGTCACCGGGGAAAACCAAAGTAATTTTGTCTCTTTATCTTTTATTGTATTTCTCTTTGCTCTGAAACTTTTTTAACGTTGCTTTTATAGTAAAGGAGGCCAAGGCGACAATATAACACTTCTCGTGCAATATTCTAGGGATGAAAAAAAAAAATACAAGAACTTAGAATTGTACTCTCGGAAGAAAAAAATAAAATGCACATGATTCATGATACGAAGGAGAAGGTATTTACACAGCCAGTGCTCAAGGTACTGGTGATCCCCTGCCCTGAATTAGCCTCTTCTTGCAGTTGCTGGATCGTGCACGGGTGTGTCTGTGCATGCGCATTCACAGCTGGGTTAGTCCTTTAGTGCCACAGCTCCTCGCGTGTTGAGGTAAACGTGTGGGCCAAGACTATCTTATTATTCTTTTAAAAAATTCTATTTCGTTTAAACAAAAAATGAAAGACGAATGGCTTCAGTTTCTACACTGTCATAAATCGTTCCTTATTTCTTATTTTTTTATCTTGTCTTTTTCTTTTGTTGTGACACTTTGTTAGCACATGTCATTACGTGCGTTCTGTTTTATGTGAACATCACTGTATATATATAGCTTTGTAAAATTACCTTGAATAAACCACTGAATATATTTCTGACGTGAAACATTGTCATCACTTTTTCGAAGAAACTCTATTATGAAGTGTTTCAGCTATTCATGGATTACTTGTCCTTAGATGTGGTAAGTAAATAGTTCACCTTCACTGTGCACTTATTTTGTCGTCGCGTTTACCAAACTCACTGAAAAAATTCACGGTACAGTTTCGGTGGAAAACGTTAACACTGTGAAAGACCACGCACTAGCATTGTTTATTTGCTTTGTAGGAAAGGGTGATTGTCACTTAAGTTAATCTTCTTTAGTCATAAGTAAGGTACGTGCTCCTAAGGAATTGATATTTCCAAATTTGTCATGAATATTTCTAGTTTATTTTCTCACAGGAAAGCGGGTCACACCTGCACCATTTTTTCTCCGCTGGCCGACGGCGACGACCTCTCGCCCTCCAGCGGCTGCGCGGGCGTGATGGTCACCTCGAACGACACTCGGTGGTCCTCCTCTCCGGCCTCGGAGTCCTCGTCGCCTCCTTCTTGCCCCTCCTCCTCGACGTCTAGCTCATGCTCGCCCGTCTCCGGCTCGCCCTCGCCCGCCCTCTGCCCGGCCTTGCCCTCCGCCAGGTCCTCCTCCCCCACCTCCAGCTCCTCCTCGGTCTCGTCCTCGTTCTCCACGTCGATGTCCTCCTCCTCCTCGTCTTCGTCCCGCGGCGGCGAGGCGGGCGGCGAGGGCGCGAGCGAGAAGGTCTGGGGTAGGGACGAGGGCGTGAGTAACGAGGTCTGTGAGGGCGGCGGGGAGGGCCTGGTGTAGGTGAGGGCGGGGAGGACGGAGGACAGGTCGAGGTGCGGCGAGGAAGAGCTCATGGGGAGTCTCAAGGGCGTCAGGGGCGGGGGAGGAGGGTGAGGGTGGGGGGCGGCGGCCGGAGGTACCCCGGGGCCCCAGAGGTCGGGCGGCGGGCGCGGCAGCAGGAGGCGGCGGTGGTGGCGGTGGACGGCGCCGTCGAGGATGGTCGGGCCGTCGCTCTGGTGCTTCTTGAAGTGGCGGTCCAGGTTGGTCTGCTGGCCGAAGGCGCGGTCGCAGAGGCGGCACTTGTACGGCTTCTCCTTGTTGTGGATGTTGCGGACGTGGCGCTGCAGGTTGGACGAGATGCTGAACGAGCGCTCGCAGAACTTGCACTTGTACGGCTGCTCGCCCGTGTGCGTGCGCAGGTGCCGCGTCAGGTTGGCCGAGCGCGGGAACACCTTGCCGCAGAACTTGCACGCGTAGCGCTCGCGCGGCTTGTGCGGCCCCGTCGCCGCCATGCCCGGGGCCGCGCCCCCCGAGGTGCGGCGCTCCCGAAACGCCTCGAAGAGCGGGGGAGGGCGAGGGGGCGCGGGCAGCGAAGGGAAACCCCTGACGAGCGGGTACGGGAAGGGGCGGGTCGGCAGGGGGTGCAGGGGGTACTGCGCGGGGCGGGGCACGAGCGACGGGTACGACATCTCCTTCCCTATCCTGGAGTACAGCAGCGAGGAGGGGGGGAGAGGGCGCGGGTACAGGAGGGCCAAAGGAGTCTCGGCTGCCAGGGAGGCGTGGACGGGGTACGTGAGGCTCGGGCACTCGGGGAGGCGCCCTGGAGACCTCTCGAGGGGCGCAGGGGATTCCGGCCTGACGGAGGACGAGGACGAAGGAAGAGGAGGGCCGCGAAGGAGCTCCAGGCCGGCGTCCGGGGGCGAGGAGCGGCCGGGGCTCAGGACGAGGTTCATGTTCTCGTCCGCGACCGTCCGCCGCTTCTTGAAGTCCACCCTGAGGTCAAGCGGCTGGTCGCAGTCGGAGAGGTCGAGCGGCCGCGACGCCGAGCCGACGGAGGCTTCGCGGCTGGCCTTGGAGAGGTCGAAGGGCATGTCGGAGGCGGACTTCGGAGCCTCGGCGAGCTCTCCTGAGGGCTCCGAGGGACACGTTAAGCCCGCCTTCGGGGAATCGGTGAGGCCGGGCGGCGCAGGCGGACGGGAGGAGACGCGGGCGAGCGGCAGGTCGGACGCGCAGCGAGGGCGTGCCGGCTTAGTGGGCACGGCGCGGGCGGCCACGTGCAGGGGCGGCGGGGGGGCGGCGGGGCGAGGGCACGACATGCTAATGGCCGAAGACCTCCTTCAGGCGGGGTGAAGGTGCGTTTGCCTCACGCGGTCCTGCAGGGAAAAAATGAAGGCATAAATATAAAGCTCAGAGCCTTGAACCGCTCACACCCGGACGCGGCGAGACGCAGGCATCCAGAGCAAATAAGGCGAAGGAAAGCAGGACACTTCGCCTTCTTGAGCAACACTGAATATATGAACACAAATATATTCAGCGTATGGATGTAGCTGCATACGTACATACATACATCATATATATATATATATATATATATATATATATATATATATATATATATATATATATATATATATATATATATGTATATATATATATATATATATATATATATATATATATATATACATATACATACATATATATATATATATATATATATATATATATATATATATATATATATATATATATATATATATATATTATACACACACACACATACATATATATATATATATATATATATATATATATATATATATATATATATATATATACATACACACACACACACACACACACACACACACACACACACACACACACATAAATGTGCATCCATCCATCTATAAACACATGCAAACACACACACACAGTGTGTGTGTGTGTGATTTTACATACATATTCGGTATTCTTAAGAAAGTAATATGTCCAGCATCTGTAACACTTCTGCACCAAAAGGGAAACAAACCATTTATCATTTCTTTTCTTCCTAAGGCAACGCTCCAAACGTCACTGAGCTGTTTCGCAACCAGAGCCATCCTACAGCTGCACAAGGCCTCGGACCCACAAACACACAGACGTCCACAATTATCATTCTGATTTTCCCTTCAACAAAAAGGCTAAGTGGCAACGAGGGGGGGGGGTGATGATCATCGGACAACAGTGTTGATTCACAAAAGAGATCCTGTTCATACCTATTTATCCTTCAGAATGTAGTTTAACTCCAAGACGCATTAAATGTGTATGTAATTAAACTACGCATTAACAAAAGACCAGAAATTAGTTCTATTTTCTGCTCTTATTACCACCATTTCCGGTCGCGGGACAGGAAGTTTCCAGTTTCTACCATGTTACCCGCAATTACACCGTTATTATAACCAGAAACAGTTCATATTATTCTTAATTATTCGCATTGCAATTAGTATCATCATAATTAACACTCCCTCCCCCCCGCCCCTCCCCCAACCCCCTTAAAACCGCGAAACGAAAAGAGGAAATAAACTACGAAAGAAACAGTTGACGTCTTCAAAGCGTCGGGGAAATTTGGCGGGAGTTTGTCTTTCACGCCCGGGATGACAGGACAACAATTTAGTAATTTTCCTATAAAGGTTCCGCCAAATAAATCCTGGGAATTACCTAGAAGCCAGCCAGTTCGTGGAAGTGTGGTAAGACGAGGAAGAGAGGAGGAGAGAAAGAAGGGAAGAGAGAAAGAAAGGGTGAAGGAGAGGAAGAGATAGAGAGAAAGAAAGGGAAAAGGAGAGGGAGATATAGATAGAGAGAAAGAGAGGAAGAGAGAAACGGAAGAGGACAGGGAGCAGGAAGAAAGAATGTGGAAGAGGATGAAAGAAAAGGGGAAGAGAGAGAGAGACAGGAAGAAAGTGAGGGTGAAAAAGAGAAAGAGTAAAAGAAAAAGTAAAAAAAAAAAAAAAAAAAAGAGACGAAGAGTGTAAGAGGGAAAAAAAGAGATGGAGACGTTGAGAGAGAGGCAGAGAGGAAGGGAGGAAGAGAGAGAGAGAGAGAGAGAGAGAGAAAGTGAGGAAGAGAAAAAATAAAAGAGAAAGAGAAGTCTATGGACAGAGATAAAGAGACAGAGAGATAAATAACAAACAAAAGGAAAAAAACACAGAAGATAGAAAGAAAGACCGAAGGAAAGAAAACAGAAAACGAGAAGAAATAATAATAATTATAGTAAAAAAAACAAACACCAACAACACCAAAACGAACAAAAAAGATAAACCTATTAAAATATCTCCCAAAAATCAAAAAATCAGAAAACGAAACACTTTAAAAGAGATGAATAAAAAAAGGAACTATTACCCGCTCGCAAACTCCTGACGAAGTGCGCGCTGGATCGAGGAATGCGTCGACTTAGGATGATTCAACACGAGCATCCTTGAGTGGAAATTGCGAGCGCCTCGACAGGAAGTTCTCAGGTCGTCCTTGAGGAATGGGGAAGTGAGGAGACCAAAAAGGAGGAGGAGGAGGAGGAGGAGGAAGAGGAGGAGGAGGAGGAGGAGGAGGAGGAGGAGGAGGAGGAGGAGAAGGAGGAGGAGGAGGAGGAGGAGGAGGTAGGTGTGGTGGAAGATTTTGAGGGTGGTGGAGGAGGAGGAGGAGGAGGAAGAAAGAGGAGGAGGAGGAGGAAGAAGAAAGAGGAGGAGGAGGAGGAGAAGGAGGAGAAGGAGGAGGAGGAGGAGGAGGAGGAGGAGGAGGAGGAGGAGGAGGAGGAGGAGGAGGTAGGTGTGGTGGAAGATTTTGAGGATGGTGGAGGAGTAGGAGGAGGAGGAAGAAAGAGGAGGAGGAGGAAGAGGAGGAGGAGGAGGAGGAGGAGGTAGGTGTGGTGGAAGATTTTGAGGATGGTGGAGGAGTAGGAGGAGGAGGAAGAAAGAGGAGGAGGAGGAAGAGGAGGAGGAGGAAGAAGAAGAAAGAGGAGGAGAAGGAGGAGGAGGAAGAAAGAGGAGGAGGGGAAGAGGAGGAGGAGGAGGAGGAGGATGAGAGGGTGATGATAGTGGAGGAGGAAGGTGGAGGAAGGTGGAGGAGGAGAGAAAGAGAAGGAGGAGGAATAGGAGGAAGGAGGAAGGAGGAAGAGGAGGAGGAGGAGGAGGATGAAGGAAGGAGGAGGAGGAGGAGGAGGAAGAGGAAGGAGGAAGAGGAAAACGAGAAAGTGTGGGGAAGACAAAGAAGGAGGAAAAGAGGAAGGAGGAGAAAGAAGACGAAGACTAAGTCTGGAGAACACAAAGGAGGAGGAAAAGAGGAGCAAAAGTAAGGAGGAAGAGGAGGTGTGTCAACTTCTTTTTTTTTCCTTTTTCTTTTTCTCATGGATTTTTTTTTCTTTTTTTTTGTGCCTTCGTTACCGTTTCTGATTATTATTCCCTTTGTGTTCGCGATCACTTTTTCCTCCGTTGATGTGATTAAAATCTTGAGGACTGTTATCTACGTATCAATTGCTTCTGACGATCGTTTTCCACACAAAGGATATATACATTAATATGCACTGATACTCTCTCTCTGTCTTTGCCGGTCTGTCTGTCTGTCTGTCTGTCTGTCTGTCTGTCTGTCTGTCTGTCTGTCTGTCTGTCTGTCTGTCTGTCTGTCTGTCTGTCTGTCTGTCTGTCGGTCTGTCTCTCACTCTCTCTCTCTCTCTGTCTTTCGATGAATAAATATATATATATATACATATACATATATATATATATATATATATATATATATATATATATATATATATATATATATATATATATATATATATATATATATACATAAATATACATATATATATATACATATATATATATATATATATATATATATATATATATATATATATATATATATATATATATATATATATATATATATATATATATATATATATATATACGCAATGAGCACAAAATTGGATATAGATACAGGTGTTAGTAATAAGAAGAAAGGTAAGTATAAATATTTAATTTAGATAGATACACTGCCATAAAGAGAGAGAGAAAGAGAGAGAGAGAGAGAGAGAGAGAGAGAGAGAGAGAGAGAGAGAGAGAGAGAGAGAGAGAGAGAGAGAGAGAGAGAGAGAGTGAAAGTGAAAGAGAGAGAGGAAAAAGAAGAGAGAGGAAGGGAGAGAGAAAACTAGAAAGACAGACAGAAAGACAGAGAAACAAACAGACAAACAAACAAACAGACAAGCAGACACACAGCCAGACACACAAACAGACAAGAAAGTAAGAAAGTCCTGTCGCCTTTACACACAAAAGGGGCCCCAGCAACCAACCTACGGCTCTGGATAAGAAAAAAAAAAAAAAAAAATATCCGAGTGGAAAGTGAACTCAACAAAGACCATTACAAGAGACACTCGCCGAGACTGCTGCATCACTCGGCCGCTTGTGATGCTCTTAATTGCAACACGAGAGGGCTAAGGAGAGCGTCGTAGAAGGGGGGGTGGGGGTGGGAGGGGTGGGGGTGGGGGGGTAGGTAGGGAGGGAAGGGGAAGGGTGGGGGGAGGGGGGGGTAAGAGGGGATAGGGGGGAAGGGGGAAGGGAAGACTGAGGTAGGGGGGTGAGGGAGGGAGGGAGGGAGGGGGTGAGGGAGGGAAGGGAAAGGGGTTAGGGGTGTAAAGGGAAGACTGGGGTAGGGGGGGTAGGGGGAGAGCGAGGGGAAGGGGGAGAACGAGGGGAAAGGGGGGTAGGGAGAGAACGAGGGGGGAAGGAGGGTAGGGGGAGAATGAGGGGAAAGGGGGTAAGGGGGGAGGAAAGAAAGAGGGGGAGGGGGAAAAGGAGGAGAGGGGGGGGGAGGAGAGAGAGAGAGAGAGGGGAATAATGCGTAGGATGATTGAGGGGATGAGGATAAGGGAAGGGGGTAAGGGGTAGGGGAAGAATAAGGGGGTAGGGGAAAGGGGAAGGGGTTAGGGTGGAGGGGATAGGAAGGGAAATGAGGGAAAAGGGAAGGGGGGAAGGGAGAAGAAGAGAAGGGTGTTTGAGGGAAAGGAAGAACGAGGAGATTGAGGGGAAAGGGGAAGAAGGGAAGGAGACACAGAGAA